TTGGTTCGGTTTAACACTTGAGATAGAGATAATTAACTTTCAATGTTTAGTTAGATTATAATTATAATGTAATCTTTAAGTTAAATAATAGCAAAGGTAATTCTACTAATTAATTTATATTAATATATTATATTATAATAACGTAAGGACGGATAATCAGTGGCTAAGTGGCTATCAGTCTTACCAGTTTTCTTATATAGGCTCTACATATCAGTCTATAGTTATTTATAAGTAATTTAATTATTAGTGTTAGTAAAATAGTAAGTAATTAGTAGTAGTCTAGTAATTAGTTATTATTATCACAATCATAAATCATATACATTCATATCATCATATATCTAAGATACTGATACTCATTAATTTAATTAACTATTTAACTAACTAGGTAGTCTCAGTTTCTCACTAATTTTAACAATAGAATTGCCTAGCCTAGCCCACTAACCAATTATAGAATAAAAGTTAAAAACTTTTATTTAGAATTAGAGTAGAAGTTATAAAATATTAGTCTTGTCTTGAATAAAATATTTTAAAGGATTAAATAAAATTAAATCAATCACTTCTGTTATTTTTTTTTACTTTTCTGGAAGTAAGATCTCAAGAAACAAATGGTATTGACGGTGTTGTCTCCCAACCTACTTCTTAATGAACTGCATATATATCCAGCTGCAGAGAAGGCCCTTTATGCCTTTATGCTAGTTGGTTTCAGGGTCATCAAATAATCATAAATCAAAGATAAGTTTTCATCTCTGACTCCCTCACTTTCATAAACAGCCATTTCCTTTTTTAATAACTTATCATAATCCTTCTCAGTACTAGTTTATTTCCGTTTCATGAAGTTTTCTTTCTCCGCTTTAGTTGGATCTCCGATTCCAATGTGAAATTCAGGGAATGTGGGCTATCTGGATCATCGTTTTCCACTTCTATAATATCCTCTGCCATTGCTGCTGGTTCCACTACATATGTAAATAATTTACTTGATTCAGCATATTTTTCATCTCCTGGCACATTACATTGTTTTTGGTATTGTGAAAGAATAATTGGGCTTTCTGACTTTTTGGTCATACTTCTTTGGGTTCTGTATGTAAATCAGCAACTCTGTGACCTCGATAAGACGCCGTTCTCTGATTCTTTTGCAGAATGCCTCGGAAAGGTCGGAACTCAAGATTGTGTCCTGGCTTTTTAGTTTGTCTAAGACAAATTTCAGGGTTGTGTCAGCAGTTATCAAACTCGACTCTCTTCTACAGAGAGCTTTTACGGCCAGTTTATAGGTTAGGTTTTGTGGACAAGCCGCGAAAGCAGTACACAGTCTTGCAGCCGAAGTGGCAAGCGAAGCGAGCCACAAGGCTACAGCTCTCCATAGGCTTAAACTGAGATTGTTCCACCAAGTGATTCATTGACGTCACAACCGACCATAAACTAGAATTATGCACCAAGACTAGGAGAGGAGTTACTTATTTTGTTTAGCACGAAGACACTTTATTTAGCGAGAGTGGAAAGTCAACTGGCAATTAGATCAGCAGAGATAATAGGGCAGGCAGTGTGGTGTAGAGAGGGGTATAGCACATGCCACACTGAATGGCAATCATCGCCGAGCGATGAAAAGCAGAGAGCGAGCGCATGAAAAGAGAGTGAGGCAAACACTCGGCTCTCATCGCCGAGCAATAGCACACGTAGAAATGCAGCAACACCAACAACATAGACTTTTGTGCCATTATTTAGAAAGTTAATTGAGTATTTGTGGATCTGCAGCGCTGGATCCAGTTGGATTGCTGGATGAGGGATCCAGCAATTGCAATCCCTAGTTGCAATATTAATTTTAAATGAAATAAGATTACAAATTTATTTTGTAGTACACAATAAAAACAGCATATTCACATATAAATGAAGAATTCAGGAATCCAGAATCAATCTTTCAGGTTTCTTTCAAAAGATTGATTCTGGAATCCCAATCTTATTCATTCTTCGGCTTGATGTTAATGAATGTACTGTGCTTGTGCTCATAATGTAAAATGTTAAAGTTTATTTTAGTTTAGAAAAATTAAAAAGTACAGTAGAGCATCATTTATCCGAATCAATTAGGAACTAAGGTTGTTCGGATAACTTATTTTTCGGATAACCGATTATGTACGAAAAAATATATTAACCTATCCCGTGTTGAAATTTTTCTCCGTTGCATGTCGCTTTGCGTTGAATTTTCGTCGATGTTAAGCCTAACGTAAACTTTTTAAAATAATAATCGTGGCTATTGTATCGTTAAAAATTATTTCTTTATTTTGTACAAACAAAATAAATATATTGAAAAATATAAAAACAATAAAAAAATTATACTTCAGAAGTTAATTTAGTATCAAAAACATAAAATATTTGAGTAGCCCAAGACATAGCCAAAGATTGCAGCGCCACAGCACTAGTGAAAATTTAAATTTGCCAACTGGAATTCTTTCGGATAACTGACTTTCGGATAAACAACGCTCTACTGTATTCAAAAGAGTTGGAATTGGAAGTTTTCAGTAGAATCAGAATCAGGAGAAATTTTTGTATCATCTATCACTAATATTTAATTTTAAATTCATTAAGTAAGACTGAACATTAAGCCATTATTGTTGAATAAATTAATTTTCCTAAAATTTAATTTTCTTTTATTTGTTCACAATTTCTAAAATTATTTGTGCAGCAATTTAATCCATCTTTATTTTTATAATCAATCAAAGAAGGATTAAATTGTTATGACTGTTAGATAGTATAATGATCAAAAAATATATCATCAGGTGAGAAAGTAATAAAATATATTATTATTTATGTTTTTAGTAATATATTGATAAAATACTTATATTTTTCTTAATTTTATAAAATACTTTTTAGTGTCCAAGAGCAATTATAGCTCTCTATACAGCTGCTATCAGTCATATGATAGATGTTACGTGTTCCTCTTATCTAGAACAGTTATCTTGGCCAATGCCTGAAATAGCCATGATTCAAAAAGATAAAGGTAATTTTTATAAATACACAAATTGATTTAAATAAAAAAAGTTGTTAAAATCCTGTATTATTTATTGAAAATTACATTTCAAATAGTACGTAATTCTGCATAAGTTGACAAAATCTGAATAAAAAAAAAAGAATTATACAGTCGACCCCCCCTATAACGTACGTTCCTATAACGACAATTCCTATAACGTAGCGAAAAAATTGTAGCAACTTTCGTATAACGTACCTCCTATAACGTCGTTTCGCGACAAGATTGATAGAGTCTGGACCAATAGTGGATGAGCAGCCGAACTACTTTCCTCCGACCCTGCGCCACGCTACGGAGCGGCTAAATTGAGTTTGCTATCGTCTGTTTAGTATTATATATAAATTATATATAAATTAGGTACTGTACATATAATTATATATTAATTATATATAAATTAGGTACTGTATATATAATTATATATTAACTTAATTTATTGTAACTTTATTATAATTATATATATGCTTTCTGCCGCCTGGCAACACGCTACGGAGATTTTAGGCTAGTAAGTTGAGTTTATTATCGTCTGTACAGTATGTAAATTAGGTACCGTAAGTCTAATACAGCACTAATTTTATACATTTCTTGTGAAAGAAACACTTCTTATTCAACGGCCATAAAAATTATTTATATTAATGATGTCTCCAAAGGTCAAGTTATTTTTATGCGAAAAATTCGTTATTAGAAATCGCGGCCGTCGTTTAATGTGCTGTTCCGCGATGAAAACCAGCTTTAAGCAACGGCGTAGTCGAACGGTACACACTCGGTAAGTAATCCTATAATTTTTTGTTTATAGCATAGTTTATACAGATTATTCCCAAAAAATTATACGTGTTTTGGAAATGTTGAGTGGAATTAGTCTAGAATCGGTTAATTTTATAGAAGAAAACCTTTCAAACAGCCTTAGTCCGTAAAGTTCACACCTATCGGGCTGCGATTGTCTCATGTATTTGATCATTCCTACAACGTAATTTTCGGTTAGCGTGGAACGTATCTAAGCGTTATAGGGGGGTCTACTGTAATTAAAATGAGCAATTATTTATTGTGACATTGTCACAATGTAATTTTTAATCATATTTTTAATTTATTTAATAAATTATCAATTTAAATTGTCATTTATAATTTTATTCTAACAAATGTCATTTGCAATTTTTTTTTATTAATTTATATTTTCAAATACTGAATTTTTTTAATTTACTGGGAAAATAGTCAGAAAATACTGATCTTAAAATGCTTAAAATATACATTTATTTGAGTATTGTTGGAAGAATTTTTATGAATTTTTACTTAAACTATTATTTAAATCTCTTTTAGTTTTATGAAAATATGAAAAAAATTTAAGATTAAAGTAAAATTCATAATCATAAATTTAAGTGAAATTATTTTCTATAATTTTAAACTGAAATTATTTAAATTCTGTAGTATTAAAATTTTGTTTACCATGATTTAAAAACTTAATAGAAAATTATTTATATTATTTTATAGTTTATTGTCTTCTCATTTGTTTAGAACACCCTCCAGTGTATTGGAATTCTTCTGAACAATTAAGAAAAGTAGAAAAAATTATAAGAAACATTCAACTCAAAGAATATCCTGAAAATTTAAGTACAGAACATAAAGATGATGTATGGCAATATGTTGATCTCATCATTGCAGATTCAAGGAACAAAAGTTTAATTTTAAAATCAAAGTTAGTTTTTTTATATTTATTTATTTAATAATTATTTAAATTTGAGTAATAAATTCTAAAGAATAGTGTAAAAATTCATGATCTCTTCATATTAAGATTTTTTAAATTGTCATCATTATTATGTTAAAAGGGGGTTCAAAGTAAACACACATTGCTAGCAAAATTTATTTTTACTAATGTGATTGTTAAGCAGTATAGCAAAAAATGTCTATTATTGTTGCAGTCTGCTCTCAAAGATTGTCATTTTGGACTACAAATGTAAGATACATCTGTACTTCAAATCAGTAAGAATAGGTAAAAGCATGTGTCTTAGAATCAAAGAAATACAATGTTATACAGTATTGGGATTTCTCAATTTGTTTTTAATAATTAGTGAATCTAAAAAAGATGATTTCAAAAAAAAATACAAAAGATTGAAAAATAATATCTAACATAATAGCAATGTTTTGCCTGAATAAAAAGACAGAAATTCCATTTGTTCGATTTGTTGTAATACTTTAACCAAATTGATGAAGTTCCATATTATATGAAAGTTGCCTGTATATGTTAAATATTTTGAATTTGAAATATATTGATATGCAGATTATCATTTTTAAGTCTACATTAAAATGCAACACTTGCAAGTAAACAATAATAATGAATTGGAATAAGACAATGCAACATGTGGGCAATCTCCATGGAACATGCCTTCCAGGAAGTCTTTTTATGGGAAACTGGCTCCTATTTAAATATCAGACATGTGAAAAAATCTGGAAACTCCATATGGCCAGTATTATGAAGCTGCTTTTGGGATTTATGATTCTGTTTATGGTTCTACTTTTTTATGGCTACTGGCTTTCATGGTTTGCATGTTTTGATTATCTGTTTGTCAGCTGTGAATTCATGACCAACTACTAGCTTTCAATACTGTTATGCACTCATCCATTGGTGAGCCAACAATAATGTACAAATTTGTTTACATTTTTCTGAGCTTCTAGCATACAAGAACATTTGCAATTATTATTGTTGATTTTTTACAAATAATAATAATGATTTTATGAGATGGGAAATAAATGCTAGAGTTTACAAACATGATCTAATAAGTATTTATTAACAGAATCTTTTTCTTGAAACTTGATTTATATAATTTGCATTCACTATATTTTCACCTTCTTCAAATAATATTAACCTATAAACCACATTAATAACATATATCATTTAATGTCAACATAAACAAATTTGCCATTTTAAATTTATACAATGCTCTCTATAGTTTGTTAGAATTGGCAATACTACTTTAAAATAATGATGTGCAACAATAATATTGACTTTACTATATGTTATTACACACATATTTATTTATTTTTACAGAAAGGATGTCATTTCATAAAGATTTTTATAACATTTTAAGAGCAATTTTAAGTAATCATGGTAGAAATGCATATAGTACTAGAATCTTAGAATTGACTCATGAAAATTGAGTAAAAAAAATGGTGATTTTCTTTAACATTATGTCTATGGTGAATTTTATTTATTTTTAAAAATTTGAACCTTCTCAAACCTAGCTAATAAAATAAAAATTGGTTAATGAAATAAAAGCAACTAGTATGTGTTTTTGAGATAGGTAAGGACATGCCCTGCAAGAGGGAAGTAAGAAATTTGGAGTATGAAAAGTTTTGGAAAGTTGTAGAATATTTCAGATGATTTTGAAATAATTTTGTTTGGAATTTTTGGGAAATTCTCTTTGAATGAAGTTTTGTAATTATTCATTACAACTTCTTAATAAAATATATTGCTAATGAAAATCAGTTGATATTAATTCACTTTCCTTCCTACAATCTAAAAAACTTATTATTTTCAACATTGAATTCACCTTACCCTCTTGCCTCTCAATTTTTTACTTGATTTCTACAAAATCAAGAATTCTAATATTTTAGTATTATATGCATAAATTTACCAGATGTAGTGATTTTACAAATTATATTCTGATTTGAATTTAGTATAGAATTTTAAAGTTGCACTGATTTAAAAAATAAGAAATCTAGGTTTCCTCTAGCAAACATTAAATCCCCTCCACCTATGATTGGCTGTGAGCAAGGGGAGTTTTTTTAGTGTTTTCCTTGAGTTCTGCTTTTTCTCTATAACTTTACTATAAGTCTCCATTCCAAAATAATGTTGTTCAGAATATTAGTTATGGTTGGGTATGTCATGTGAGTAGTAAACTGTAATGCTGTTTAGTAATTATTAAACTCAGGGTACTTATTCAGAATACTGGCACCACTTCTAAATAGATATTTTATTATAATAATATAGCTTCTTGCCCCTATTAAAACTATTACAATTTTTGTGCTACTATACAATTAAACTGTTAGGGCTTATCACACTAAGTTGACAAGGGGAGTTTATTAATTAATCATATACATCCATTTACATAAATATATTAACTCTTATGTACACAATCACCAATCTAAAATGCATTTTGGGCTTTATAATGGTCCCTATTCAGTTAGACAATTTGATGACTTAAGCATTAGTTGTTTAACCTGTCCTATGTTGATCCCAAAAATTTTCGGGTTGACCTCATTGACCTGCGTGGGCGATCCCAAATATTTCCATGTTTACATTGGAATGTTTTTGATACTAGATGTCACTTCGCGTCACAATTTTTATATTAAAACGAACTTTTAAAATAAAATTTTTTTCGTTTTTTTTAATTTTCAATATATATATTTTGTTTGTGAAACAAAAAATAATTTTTTACGATACAGTAAACACAATTATTGTTTTAAAAAAAATTAGGCTTAACAGCGATGAAAATTCAACATGGCATCACAGGCAACAAATAAAAATTTCAACATGAAATAGGTTAACAATCTATTAAATTGAAACAAACATATCACAAAGACAGTTGGAAGTTAAAACTAAACTTATAAAAATCCACATTTAAAACCTGTTCCTCTGCTTATTGTAATTACAATTCCAAAACATTCTTCAACATTTATTTTTTCTGTATATTATATTATATTATATACTGTACTTTCCGGCATATAAGATGACCCCCGACTTTTACAGTTAAAATATAGAGTTTGGGATATACTTGCTGTATAAGACTACCCCGGCCCACCCTTGTATCCTGTTACCATACCTCCTTCTCTGCCTCTCAGATCTCGCACATGCACGCCTGCGCCGCTTCACTGCAGTCCTCAGGAGTGAGATCTGAGAAGCAGAGAAAGAGGTACAATAATAGGATACATACAAGGGTGGGCCAGACAGGTGAAAGATGAGTGTTTTTCTGGGCACAGCACCACTCTATCTCTATCCATACCCCAGGGTCCAGGCCGACTGCAGCACCTGTCCTATAAGACGACACCTGGTGTATAAAATGACCCCCAACTTTTGAGAAGATTTTCCTGAGTTAAAAAGTCGTCTTATATGCCAGAAAATACAGTATTCACTAATATAATATACATAAAATAAAAATATATCTGTTTCAATTTTAATAGATTGTTATACACCTAATGCTTAAGTTATCAAATTGTCTAACTGAAGAGGGGCCATTACAAAGCCCAAAATGCATTGATTGGTGATTGTGTACATAAAAGTTGATGTATTTATGTAAATGGGTGTATATGATTAATTAATAAACTCCCCTTGTCAACTTAGTGTGATAAGCCCTAAAAGTTTAATTGTGTAGTAACAAAAATTGTAATAGACATTTTATTGTATTTCAAGTTGAAATACATTAGAAATTTTAAGTTAAATTAATTAATATTCAAATATACAGTAGAGCATTGATTATCCGAATCAATTGGGGACTGCGGTTGTTCGGAAAATCGATATTTCAGATAACCGATTATGTACGAAAAAATATATTAACCTATCACATGTTGAAATTTTTCTCTGTTGCGTGTCGCTTTGCATTGAATTTTTGTCGATGTTGAGCTTAACAAAGACTATTGTATCGTTAAAAATTATTTTTTTATTTTGTACAAATAAAATAAATATATTGAAAAATATAAAAACAATAAAAAATTACACTTCAGAAGTTAATTTAGTATCAAAACCATAAAATATTTGAGTAGCCCAAGACATAGCCAAAGATTGCAGTGCTACAGCACTGGTGAAAATTTAAATTTGCCGACTGGAATTCTTTTGGATAATCAACACTCTACTGTATTTAAATAACTGAATGAATTCAGCAATGTATTATCAAAGTTTTAATTATATATTGTATGAACTTTAGCATTATTTTATTTATCATATTTAGTTTTCAGTGTACATGTTTTGAGAAATTAAAAAACAACATAAAAATTTAATACATAAAAATATAAACACGACTTTTTAACAAAGTTAAAACTTTGTGTCTGTCCTCCTTTTCGCCGTTTTCACCATCAGCAATCCTTTAAAAAGTTTGCAAAATTATGGAGACAACCTTCCTTTTGAGGCTACTACTTCTGCAACAAAATGTAAAAATAGGTAAAGCATCCTCTGGTGTAATAAAATCATAAAAATAATCATAATCATAAAAATTACTCATTTTTGGGCTTTTTGAATGAGAATACCCCCTAAATGCAATGTTTAGTATTAATTAATACAAACAATAATGTTATAATTATTTACATTGTTGCAATAAAATGTTACATTGTTGAAATAAAATGATTGTTTTTTTAAATTTAAATTTCCCACCCTTGAAATTCAACTTTTTTCCATGTGAACAGCACTGCATTTGTGCATTTGGAAGAGTTCACATATCATATGTGAATTTAAAAATATAACCTCGTTTATATAATGAGTTCCACATGTTTAAAAGTAGTTTTTCTAATGGCATGGAAACAAAAAAATAGAATAAATTTCTTGTATGAGTATATGTAAGTTGAGGCCCACCAGTGGCCAAGCAGTCTTCGTATCGTCTATCGAACCCACAACTGAGAGTTCAGTTGTGGGTTCGTGCCTCAGTCGGACGGGCTGGCCACATGAAGTTTTCTGGGTTTTCTCCATGTCTGTAATGCCTAAATAGGGGCCAGTTTCCCTTAAAAAGACTTCCCAGAAGGCATCCCCCTAGGCAGATCACCCAAGTGTTGCATTGCCATAACATAACCTTTGTAGTGAGGGTTAGTCAGATATGGCACTATCGTGATGTAGTGGAGAATAAATGTGGAAAATTTTTTAAGAATTTTCCCATGCTTTTGTCTCATTTCTGTTTCAGAAAAAATTTTTTAACAGTTGTATCTAGTAAAGAAAAAATCTTTCTTTATTGTCACATAATTCTTTTTTATGTGATTTTTTTTTTGGGAGTAATTTTTGGCAGATATAGACGTCATTCACCAGTACCATGTGACCAGTACCAGCTCTTGATGGGTATATTCGTCAATCACTGCAGAGTGGTTAACAAACAAACAAACATATGTAAACCGAGATACTATGCAGCTGAATATCAATAATCTGAAATATCAATAAAACTTTCAGTAAAGGTCTGTGAGTGAACATACCACCTGGCATTGGTTTGAAAAATTTTATGCCAGGAATACAAATTTCAGAAATCTGCTTTGCAGACATGCACCATTTGTCATGTCTGTAAAAACCTTGCCTGACTGTCTAGGAAATCATGGAAAGATTGAATATATATTAATCAACTGTTTCGTGACATTTAAATGGATTAGAGAAAGTTGGGAAACTCAACAAATGGGTACTACATGAACTCAGAGAGACAAGTATTATTTACAAGGTTTGTAGTTCTATAACTATTTGTCACAAAAATGCAAGTACAGTATATTGTCTTGTGTTGTAACTTGCGATGAAAAGTTGATCCTCTATGGCAATTGTCTATGTTTTGTGCAGTGGCTAGATGTGGAAGAAATGCAAAAACACATGCCAAAACTGAGCCTTCATTTACACAAATTCCATGGTAATGTCTATATGGTAGTCTGTAAGGGAAACAATCCATTTTTCTTTCTGCAAAAAGGTGAAATGATGAATGCCAACAAATACTGTCAGGAAATTGATGTAATGTACAACAACTGTGCATTCAAGAGCCACCACTTTTGAATAGATATGGTGTTTTATGCTTTATGATTTAAAAAAATGAAGAGTTGACAGAATTGAAGTGCAAAATTCTTTTTCATCAACCTTCTTCAGACCTTTCATTGACAGACTATCATTTTTTTAAACATTTTGACAGATTTTATTGGGGGAAAGTTGTCAAGGAATAGGATGCAATAAAAAGTGCCTTTAATGACATTTTTGCTCATTGTTACATGATTTCAAACTGGCATTAATGCACTTCTGTTACATTGGGAGAAGTGTATTAACATTGATGGAGACCATTTTGATTGAATATATAAGGCTTAAATTAAATTAATAAATGTTCAAAGTTAGAAATAAAAATCAGCCATTTCATTTGCTATAACCTGATATATGTTTATGTATATTACAGAAATTTTCAATTATTAAAATATTTATATTGGAACATAGTTTTTTCATGGATATGAGAAATAAAAAATGTACTGATCTTACATATAGAAAATCTGGTCACCTCTAAGCATTCTACCATTTACTGTGATTTATTCAAAATCCCTCACAATATTATAAAATTTCTTATGAAATAAAGTCCTTTTACCTTATATTCATAAATATATAAAATGGAACAACATATTCTTAAATTTATCTTGTGCTCTACTCATAATATCTGTAATATTATGAGTAGAGCACAGTTAATCAACCAAGTAAACTATTTCATATGTAAACTGTTATAGATATTATTTATATTTTAGTGGATATAATTAAATTATATTTTTCAAACTATACTTTATACATATAATTAACAATAAACTCAAAAAATAGTTTATGCTAATTTAATTTCTTATAAAGATAAACAAGAGTTATTTTTACAATACATTGAGTTCATATTAAATATTTAATAAAGCATATATAATTTGGTAAAGATTATTATAAGATTTTAATAAATTGAGATATTGATTAACTATATAAATAATAAATTCATGGCATTTATTATTATTTTATATTTATGCAGTATTCATCACTTATTATCAAGGAGTAAAAACTTAGATGGAGAAGAAGTAATTCCTTGGGCAGATATTTTACAAATGTGTAGTTTCTTTCTGCTGGATAATATTGATTTTGTTGATAAGGTAAATGTTTAAATATATATGTTGAATATTTATTTTAAAAAGTAAAGCTCATTACTTTTCCAGTTCTGTTATATACAACAGATGGAAAGTATAGTGATCAGTCAAAAAATTTTTACATTTTTGGACTCAACTGGTCCTTGAACTGTCAAATGCAAAAAAATTCAGGGGTTTTTCTTTATGTATGGATGTTAATATGCACATGCGTGTGTATGTGTGGGGTACAATTTTATTTACCCTGTTTGAAACTTAATAACTCCTGTGCATTTTGTTGAAAATTTCTGAAATTTTGCAGGGAGGTTTGTGTATTAGGGGACTGATGCTATTAAAATTTTGTGGTTAACACTTACCGTGCTGGTCCAGTTGATTTAGTTTTTTACCTGTGTGCTGGCTGATGTTTCTAATTTTACTATATTTTCTACTCAAGATAGAAAATGTTCCACTGAAGCTAGGTAAAAAGTGTAAACAGATTCTGATTTGTTGAACATTTATTTATATTACACTCAATTTTGATGTATGTGTGCAATATTTTAATTAATTGTATTGCAATTATATTTGGGCATGTTTTGCAAATAGACACAACGTAAAAAAAATTGAAAAACATTATAATGCTTATATTATATGTCATATTTACTAAGGAAACATTGCTAATTTAAGAATACATCGCTAATTACTTTTTAAGAGAAAATAATGAAATAAACGAAATAAAAAATCCGAAGTATAACAATTGTAACGAGAACCAAACTCAAAATCGAACTGTAAAAGTAATCTTAACAACGAACTTTTCGTTTGAATTTTTGAAATTGATACGCCCTCTAATGGTCAAAATAGTAACTAATAAACACAAATAATTCTTTCACGTTATGCTGCACACGTAATGATACATTTTAAAAGTGAAGATAACAAGGTATTTCGAAAAACGTAATACTACGTTTTTCATTTTTTGCAAAGGAATGCGTAAAACATATCTTTATGTTCGTAGCACGGTAAGTGTTAAAGGTCGAGGGGGTGGGCAGATAAAGAGGGTTGTGTCACATCTTGAGTATGGTCAGACTTAGACTATTTCACTCATTATTAGCATTTACAATTTTTTATAAAACCCATACCTACTCAAATTTAAGTTTTTTGTCATATTATAAAAATTAAAAAATAAAAAGTTTTTAATAATAAAATATCATAACAGATGGTGCCACACATACAGTTTTAAATGTTACCAGGAAAGTTGTGCAACTCATTGCTGAATTTGTTTTTATTGTATATATTGATATATGAGGGTGGTTTTTTACAAGCTCCAATGGTCCATAAAACAAAGAGAAGTGTAAATAACAGAATTAATGAACCTGCGTCTCAAATTGGGGGATACTGACAAGATGGCATGCTGTACATCCCTGTGTTTTGGAGTGATGAACCTCACTAAAGAGCACTCTCTCTTGAAGCACTCCATAGAATATTGCTCGCTTACCCTTGAGTTCTGGTAGAAAAGATCCTCCATCAGTTCCTCACTTTGCAGATCTTGTGGTAGATTCAGAAGGATTATCCTCAGGAGCCTTTTTCTTTTTTCCCTTACCTCTATTTTGTTGGCTAACTTGGTATTCTTTTCTATTGCTGCTTTTAAGGCCATGGTATCTTTATTCGTTTTCACCTCCAAGGAGATATCACTGCTCGGAAGTGGCCTTATGTTACCAATATTTAGGCCTAATTCCCTTGGCGATATGTTTTCTTGAAGCAAACCATTAACTCCTCTACCACCGGCTTTGACTTGTTCTGAGCCTCTACCAAGGAGATGATTAACCTGTGGGCATCCCCTTCATTGACACCCACTTTGCCTTGTCTACCTGCTGATGCATTGATTAGTCTTGTTTCCCTGCTGCCTTTTTATTGTTTTTCTTTACCACATCTGAATACAGCTGAGGGGTTAACTGAGACGCCACAATAGCTTCCTTTTACCTCATTTCAAGATTTATTCCAAACAACTGATTCACTGCTGCATCATGGATTATTGCTCTTTCACTGCTCTGATATTTTGACTAGTATAGTTTGGAATTCTTGTCATGGTTGTTTCTAAGCAGGAGTTGATATTAGAGAAGTTCTTCTTCCACATAATCTACTTTGGTTGTTCTGATCCACTATGGGTTGGGCTTCCTAATACATCCACATTCGATTGCTTTGCCATATGAGAAGGGGGACTCACAGCAAATACCAAAATTGTGTAAGACCTGATGAACCACGCCAATTGGCTTGAAGCTAATCACTTACTGGAAAAACAGTCTGAACCCAATCCATGGTTTTGTGTGCAAATAGGGGTGTCTCCCTGTTATAGAGATTGAACGTTGACTTGACAAGGTCCTTGGAACTTCCAGGAAACACATCCACACCAAATGGCTAATCCAAAAAGTAAGAGAACATAAATACCGGGCATTTCCTTGGGATGCCTGCTAAGCATGGCTGTAAGGTAAAACACCCCAGAAACCGTCCTTTAAGTCCTGGAAAAGGGCCACCAGAACCGCTGAAAACTGTATGCCACACGGCTTAACCACGCTGAATGGTTGGGTCAACCACATGGAGGCACTGGGTCCTTTGTTTAACGGTACTTTTATAAGTCGATATTACTCAGCTATTACTTGATGAATTAAAACCAAATTTGGGCAGTATGTGACATACTTGCCATACTTAGCAAAGCCATCGAAAGTTCGAGAAAGACACACATGGGGGCCTGATGGAGGCCGACAAAGTTTCAAATATATAATCGCTAATATCTCAAAAACTGCTATACCAATCAGTAAAATACATTTACAGCTTGAAATGCCAATTTCAACGATGTATAGATATACGATATTGAAGCAAAACTTATTAAAAAATGACGATTGATAGTGGAGCCTAAGTTGCACACTACATACCAGACTCGTGACTTCTCTCTCCTCTTCAGGGAGAGGTACAGTAGAGAAAGGTAGGATTCCTCTGAATGGCATACATATGGCTACAGTACCCTCTATGTTGATGTTGGTACACAGTTTTTAGGCTGCAATGCCATAGTTCCCCGAAGGGTCTAAAAGAAAACCTGAGTGTAGCAAACACCAATAATTGAGTGCTGCCACGAATAGATAAGTGTAGAAATTAGTGCCAAGTGGCTGTTAGTAGGAAGACATATCTACTTTTTACTAATAAAACTGAATGTGATTGCAAATTTTAATACTACTTAACAGCTAGGCAGACAGTGTGAAAAGCAAACAAACACATGACAAACTAGACGAGACGAATGGGCCAACAGAGACAAACGAGCAATTTATTGTATTTAACTGAATTCAAACTCCGTTATTCCTAATTTTTCTGAGTGCTTTAACTGAGATTCCTAACTGACTAGATTTTATGTTCATAGTGAGTGTTTGTCTTATTTCGTCCTGAGTGATATTAATGTTTTCTATTGGAAAAACGAGAACTGTGTGTGTGCCAGCATTGGACTGTTTTCTGGATAATTTTGGTGTTTGTTGTGTTAGCCCTTGCAGCAATACCAGCGTAGGAGGAGGTCGGTAAACTAGTCAGAATAGTGTTTTTTGCAGTGTTCAATATTTTATTGACTTTGCTATCAATGAGAGAGCCAACCTTCTCTGAAACTTCCTGCTGAATACTACAGACACTATCAGCTAAGGATTTCGAAACTGCTTCGCTAATTAAACTATTCAACATATCAACATTGTTGTTGGGCAATGAACCGATGCTCAGATAGTCTCATCTGCTAGCAAGAAAAGATCATTTGCAGCTTCACGAATTTTTGTTCTGTTCTCTTTCCAAACAGCCGAGCTGCATTCTTCTGGACAGTTTCCCAAAATAATGTCCAAAAGCTCCCTAAGCTTTTTACAGACGACAGATGAGACATCTTAGCATTGGTTCTTGGCCCAGTGTTTCCAGAACTAGATGGACATGCCATCTAGAAAGACCCTTAAACTACTTAACTACCTTAAAACTATAACTTATAACTTAAACTAAGGAAAAGAATAGGAGAATTGAAAACCAAAATACTGCAAAGCAGTATAACCAAAACACCCGAAAAACTTGAAAATGGGGTGGCCTAGAAAGATGAAACTAACATGGGGAACAAAGCACTTACTAAGGGAATGAATTACAAAGAGAAAACTAACTACAAAAAACAGAAACCACAAAAATGCCAAAATACTAACTAACACCGAAAAAGCTACAAAAATGACTAGGCAGTTGAAACTGGCCTAGTAAGGCCTAACTATGAACTTACAATCGAAAAGGCTGAAGAACAACTCAGAAAACCTGAAAAACCAAAAACTAGTTAAATGAGAAAAACCAAAATTATAGAGGAAGCTAAACACCTGAAGACCTAACTGACTACAAAAAGAGAACTATCTAACTTAGACCTAAACTAAGACAAGACTAACTAACTGAAAAACACCCTAAAAACTGAAAATTTACAAAAGCTAGTCAAAAACAAAAAGGTGAATGAGTGGAAGTTGAAAAGGAGTAAATTTAAATTGATTAAATAAAAAAAAAATGTAACTGTTTCTGCCTGGCAAAACCAAAACAGAAACTGGGCTAGCTAAGCCTAACAACTGAGAAACACATGAAAATGAAAAATTTAGCCTATTGAGAACAAAAAACTGACTCAAAATCTAAGCAGTAACACAAATACTAACTAAAATGACAAAAAACAACAGGAAAAAACACTCAATAGAGCCCAAGAAACACAAAAGTAAACTTCAGCAAAAAATCTCACCAACACAGGCAAGAAGCAGGCAGAGAAATGACAATGATAATGGGATATTAGAGAATATTCTAATATCCCATTATCTGAATGCACAGTATGGAGATATATCTGATGATGCAAATACAGACTGCAGAAATCCAAGAGAGACCTTTTATAAATGAATCATGTAAGTGAGTTCTGGCCCAAGCTAAACATCATCTGAAGTGGACAAAAATTGAATGGAAGAAAATACTATGGTCAGATGAATCAACATTTCATGTAAATTATGGGAATATAGACAATAAAGTCATTTATAGTAAAGATGAAGCTAATAATCCATCATATTGTTCAAGACAAGTCCGTGGCCACAATCTGTAATGGTTTAGTAATGCATGAGTTGTAGAGAGATTTGCATTTTATTGATGATGCTATGAACTCTGAAGCCTATATTCTAATCCTTCAGCAACATCTACATGAATCAAAATGTAAACTTTTCCAAAGACAAGCCTGTATTTTCCAACATGATAACACTTGTTCATACACTGCTAGGAAAACTAAACCTTGGCTGCAGTCCAATTGTATATGTGTAATTTCCTGGCCAGCATCAAGCCCAGTCCTGTCTCCAATAGAAAATATATGGAGATTTTTGAAAAGAAAGATGACTCAATGCTGTCCTCACATGTTAGAACAATTACATATGTACTGTATATATGCAAAGAATGGGGGAACTACCCACATAGTTATGGTGAACAAAATTCAGTGCAAATGGGATTGTACTTGCATTAAGTACAGTACCTTCTTCCAAAAGTATTTAATGATTTATTTAAAAATTGTAGAATTAACAATTTTTAGATTTAATTTAAAGTATCTTCTTACCAAAATTACTGGAATAAATCACACACAATCAAGAACCTTTAAAAATATTTCAATAAATCAAAAACCTTATTTACCTCTTAAAAATTATTGTACAGATAACCCCGTATAGCACGGATTCACTCTGACACAGTTCAAGAAATGGGTAAAACCCTCGTACAACATGAAATGTAATAAATTTTTACATACATAAGTACTAATAGTTCACAAAAATTATTATTTTCGTCAACTATTAGTACTTCAGTATGTAAATTTTCTTTTCTCGCCTCCATACACATGGTCCTTTGCGAAAATTGTTTCAATTTTGCCAGATCTCGACGCTTCTGCTTCTGGTGTTGCCAGATGTTTTTCCCTTATTCCATAAGTGCTTAGCACCATATAAGGAAATTTATAAAGATCTTTTAACTAGAAGCAAGCAATCTAAAATTACATACTTTTTGCAAAAGGCAAAGCATGAATCTGAAAATAATGCAGAAAAATGCTCAGAGGATAACGATAACTTGCCAAAAATAAAACGTTCTCGGTTAATAGTGCTTTTAGTGATGACAAAGAAAACATTGTTTAATTTATATTAATATGCATCACTTAAGAAAATTTTAATAAAGATATTTATCTTAATTATGAAAATATAGTAGCATGTTTTTTTAATTTTTGGAACCTAACCCTCCTTTTCGTACTAGTTCTTTGTTTCGCATAACATGGCAATTTTTTGGAACGTAACTACCGTGTTATACGGGGGTTACCTGTATATGGGGTAGTTATTTTTTTATGATTTTTGTGATGTCTGTTGTTCAAATTATTTTATATATGTTTGTGAGGATCCGAATTCGGATGTGTTTATATCATCTCATCATAAGATCACATCGTAGTCCTACCTTCATTTCACGGTGTCATAAGATCACAGTACAGCTATACTTTTGTTCAATAACTGTCAACTTTTACACCTGGGAGCTAAACATCTGCTAAGTTCTCAGGCGTAATAACGACGCTTTCTCATCACCTTTCGACCTAGTATAGCGATTTTAACAATTCAACATTAGGGAAGAACAACAAAGTGAGTCAGTCGTCGCCAGTTCTTCCTTGGGATTACGTCTACGAAAAATCTGTGCTTCTTGGGATACATACCTCTTCGCTTGTGACCACTATCCAAAAAATCGTCTAATATCAAGAATCGCCTAATATCAAGAATCACCTAATATCAAAGAAAAAGAACTATTGGATTATTGGACTTCCCGAACTTTCTGTCTTACCGACTGAGATCCAGATCAAGCTTTCATACAAGGTAACTATCAACNCAGTTTCAGAATAATAAATTCTTAAATTTATTTAGGAAACAAACAGAGAATGGATGATTTATTATTTAAAAGATAAATTTGAACAGTTTTATCCACCTGAAAAATGGAATGATATGGTAGACAAATCCTTCTGGTTACCAGGTATTTATGAATATTTTAAAATAATTTACATATAAATTATTCAGTATGTGATTTGAATGGTATTTAATTTATAATATAATTGCTTTTACAATTACAGTAATGTCATGGACTTTTTATATGATCTAATATTATTTTAGATTTCAACAGTAATAATATCTACTGTTTTAAAGATAATAAGTATACTAACTTTGAATATATTCATGTAGATCTAATAGATGCTTGAGGACATTTTTCAGTATGGAAACAAATCTCAATATGTACGTCCACTCTTACATATACAAGGGTCGTTCAAGATTAATTGAGACTTATTTCTACAGATCAAAAGAAATGTCCAAAAAGTATAAACTATGTCAATTTTTCAAAATACTCTCCATCTGTATGTAGACACTGTTCCCAGCAGCAGAGATACCTTTCTTGTAGAAAGAAGTGGGCTGCCATCAGAGCCAATACAGAACAACCTGCTGCAGTTCATCTGTCTAAAATTTTGCTCTTTAAGGGGCCCAAACAAATGATAATCACTGGGAGCTAATCACCTTCGATATGAAATTGATTCAGAAGCTGCTCACATGTTTCCTTGCATACCCATTTCTGGTCACCTAACAGCTGTCGGGGAACCCATCTGACACACATCTTGCAGAACAGTAATTGTTGTGGATGATTTTCTCAACACTACCAACACTGATGGATACTTCATCTGCAACGTGTCTCATGGTTACTCGCTGGCTCTCCACGATAACTTGCTTAACTCATGCAATATTCACTGGCATGACTGCAGTTGGACGAACATGTCCATGTGCTTCATTTGTCACCAGCTCTCGTCCTTCACCAAATTATTGACACCATTCATGCACTCTTACCCTCAATAGTGTTTGAGTGCGCAGTATGGGGAACAATCTTTCAAAATTTCAGCACGTTTAACCTTTTTCTTAACCTTTCAACATTGGAATAGTCAGGTATGGTGCTACCCCTTATTAGTGGAGAATAAACGTGCGAAATTTTTTGAGTATTTTTCCACGCATTTTTTCTCATAACTGTTTACAAAATCTTTTTCTGAAACAGTAATGTCTAGTAAAGAAAAGTCTTTTTTTATTGTTACATAATTAATTTTTGTGTGAATTTTTTTTTGTGTTAGTTTTAGGCTAGTTTTTGGCGATACCCCCAAAAGAATTTGACACACACATTCATCCCTCACCACTGCCACATGATTGCCCTTGACAAATATATTCGTTGCTCACTACTGAGTGGTTAACAAGAAATTTGATTACACACTGCTGTACCACCATTGCAGACACATTACCTCTGCTATGATTGCTAAAACTGCTATGCATGCACAAAATACATCATGCTTGCTACCGAAATGTTGATGGATAATGCTACTCCCTCTTTGGGTTTTATCATGCTACAGTTACTTTTCAAAATTATAGGCCTAAAAGTCTTGTTTAACATTAAATGACCCTTGTACTTACTTGTAGAATAATTCATAATATCTCAACAATAAATTGTAATTTGATCTTTTTATTTTTAATGTTATATAATGGTGTATGAGATTATTTATCATGGTAATAATATACCATATGTTAGCTTTGTTATTTCTGTGACATTTGATCTGTGGTGTTGATAAAGCTAAAAATACCAAGATGATTGATAAAGAAATTTTTTATAGCTATAGATACTTCTGTCAGAAAGCGGAAACACAGTCTAGAAGAAAAAGAGTCTAAGGAAATTAAATTATCATCACCATCTACTTCATCTTCGCTTTTGTCCCAGGTTTTTGACGAGACTGTTCGAGATTTAAACAAAGAATTAGAAAGTGAAAGAGAGACATCAAGATCATTCACACAACTTCTTAAAAAGTTAGCAGATGAAGAAATTGTTGACCAGGGTAATATTCTTTGTGTATATTTTAAGCATTTCTGTCTAAAGTAATAATTTCAATATTGAAACTTATCCAAAAACTACATTATTTTCACATAGAGTAAATTTATCAATTCTAAGAAACATCTTAACACTTCCTTTCCATGCTTGATTCCAAAATATTTATATTCTTTGAAACAGACATCATGACAATATATATAGAGAAAATTTCGATTTAAAATATTTTCTCTTTTTAGAAGTACCAACTTTGGATATTATCAAATCTCCATTAATTAATCATCCAGCAAACAATACAAATATCAGTGAAATGATTAAAACAAGGGAAGAATTTACTTTGTGCCAAGAAGACAGTTTAGAAACTAAATTAAAGCAGTTACAGATGAAGTTAGAATCCGAAAGAAAGGCTAACAAGTTGTTCAAAACAAAATTGTTATTAATAAAGCAAGAAGATTCATTTGTATAATTAATTAGTGAGAAAAATTTTTTGTAAACTTATAATATTAGGATATAAAAAATTTATTATTTCTTGAGTCACAACAAAAATTGTATATAATATTAAATCTAAAACTTTAAAGTAAAATATTTTTTGTACATACTTGAGCATTCATTTTTGTGAATACCCTCAGGCACTTTAAACAATAATTACTTGGATACATTAATCATTAAGCCAGTAACTTTTCCTTACTTATATATAGTACATTTACATCAAATTACTAGTAGTAAAAAAAATACATATGTATATATATTTTTTTTAACATGCCATTTTGTAAATTAAAGCACCAGTTAGAATGTTTCAAAACTGTCATATTATATTCACTAACATCTATTTTTAGGAATTAATTAGCACATATTTACATATATACATGATATCAACATAAATTATATTTAAGAATGCCTCTTAAAAATTACAATTTATATTAATTTTTTTACTTACAAGTATTTTTTTTAATAAAAACATATTCTACATTTTTCGCTCTCTCAGGATTGTGTAATTTTCTTTTTTTAACAATTGCATTTGATAAATTTTCTCTATTACAAACCTGTAAGTTTGTAATAGAGATAAGTCACAATTTGTTCTATCACAAGAATGGCATACAACATTATGTCAAAACTGGAAAAAACAGAAGCAAGAAATTTTATAACAAAAGATATTACAGAAAAATTTTCTAAACAATACATACTAATATTACTGCTTTAAATCAGTTCAGTTATAAATAGAAATAGCAAAATTTATGATATTTAGTATCTAATTAGTCAAAAGACAAAGTTGCAATTTTTTAAAGTGTCAAATAGGATATTCCAGAAAAAGCTCATGTGACTGTATTGATGAAATAAAGTTATGTCTGCATGACCTATGAAGAATTTATTGCTTTAATTTGGACTAATTGATATTTTGATGTAGGGATGTATATTGAGTTGAACAAGAAATCTTACTTAAGCAAATCATGAGAAAAGATGAAACATAAATTTGCAACTTCTTTGTTTCTACATGCTAAAATTCTGTATATTTTTTAAAATATAAATTATACAGAATGCAAACAAAAGTAACTTTTGACACATTTGTTAAAAAGAATGATAATTTATAAAAGCTGAAAACACAAGTGTCCAATAAGTTATTGATGATTATTTAAATTGTAACAGTTCTCTTGTGTACAAAAAACATATGCCCAATGGCTTTGATAAAATTTCTCAAAATTCCATCATAGGAATTTCTACACACATGATCAAAAATCATTCTCATATAAAAAATTATGGAATTTGAAACCTTCATTTTTTTGTACACTAAAATATGCTTGTTATTTCATATCTCAAACAGTAAAAAAACACAAATCTAAAATTAGATTTTCTCTAACAAGCAAATATTTAACAAGGTTTTTTTTCAAAACACATTGTGAATTTACAACCATAATTGATATCATTCATGTTATCAGGTCTGCAGTATCTGAGAAACAAACGTCTTTCCTAAAATTATGAGAAGATAATATGGGATCATTCATTTCTTCTTCCATGAGAAAGTCATCTACTATGTATGGTAAGGCAGGACTCATGCTTGGCACTGATCCAAGTCCAGAACTTGGGCTCTGTGATGTACTGTCATTTTTGGTGTCTATTAAATGATTGCTTGATTGTGTGCCAAATGATTCCTGTATAATTGCATTTAAGTCAGCAGAACTTGAGGGTTGCCATGTACAATTCTTGATTGGAATACCATTTTGACGAAGTAGGATTTCCAGTTCCTGAAAACATAAAAAAAATATTTATTGTACAGTATTTTATATATATATATATATGTATTAATAAAAAAAATATCTCATGTAATTAATCTAAATATATAAAATTACTTGTCCTGACTGACTGACCAACTTAATCACTGATTCATCATCGCCCAGAGCAAACTGCTGAACAAGTGAAATTTGGTACACAGTTAGGGTATGCCCACTAAGAAGAGATTTTTCGAAATTCCCCTGTGGGGGGGGAGAGAGCATTTCATTTCAGACATTCTTATAAATATTTTTATATATTTTGACTTTTTAACCAAATGTTCGAACCGTTTTAAATTTGAATTTGTTATTGCATATTGGTTCGATTATAGACATTCATCAAATTGAAAACAGTTCGTTTGATTCTCGGCAATTCTCGTCATTCTCAGTGGTAGGTGTTATATAACAATTACTATGGTTGTTGAAATACTGAATATAAATGGGGTTTGCTTGCAAAACTTCCATGGGCAACAGCTAGATATATATATATTTTTTTTTTTTGAACATATATATATACATTATATACATGTTCAAAAAATTTGGTTCATTTTTGACTGCTTCATTACACAATGCACAGATAGGATTCTCAATATTCCTATAGTACACTTATTTAAATACCCATCCCAATGATAATTGAAATTCTAATATGTAATATAGAGAGACATGTTCCATTGCTCTTCATTAGAGTTTAATAATAATTATTAAAACATGATTTTTTGGTTTGCTAAATTATGTATTTAAATATATATCACTGCAAGACTTGAATATAGAAACAATTCACAAATTAGCCAAAACTAATAGCTTATTTACTAATCAGCTATCTACTTAAATTTTTGAAGCAACTTTCTGGAAAATGTCAACCAATCACACACTGTTTTACAGACTTTTTGCAAATGTTCCATTTTTTCAAAAATACTACAAATAATAGGTTGAATTCAATTAATATCATCTGATAAAAAATATCATGGTCTTCAAATTAATTGTCTGTATTAATATATCAAAAATATGTTTTGTTATTTACTCAAACAAAAATATCAAATTGATTGTGTGTGGAAATACCTGTATTCGAAGGAGCAGTCTTTTGTTGTTTTGTTCTAACTGTCGATTCTGTTCTTCCACAATGGGTATTTTCTGTACATCCTGTTTTAGACATCTCATGTAATCCACTGTGGCTTTCAGTATCGTTCCTTTATTCTGCCTCAAATCCTTCACCAGTTCAAAATATCTAAATTTAAAAATCACTCAAGATTTTATAAAATTTATTTGCAAAATATATAACATTCTGAATATTATAGCCCCCTTCCTCTTTCTATTCTGTGGACACTAAGAATGCCTTTTCTATTACAAATTCAGCCAGGCCTCATTACGACAACCAGATGAGGTACAGAGCCCATCATATCTATATCAAGCTAAGCATGAAGATTTCTGAAGCTCTGATCATAATCCATGATAACTTGTTAAAATGATATTAATTGTCAAAAATTTCTGTATAATCTTGATTATTACAACTAACAGAAATTTTTGTAAAGCATGGAAAAACTAGTCAAGTTTCTTAGGTTTTTTGTAAAATTCTTAAGATAATATCAATGATGAGTTCAAATCTCCAATCAGATGCACATTAAAATAATTGGAATTTTAATGTGCATCTGGTAATATAAAAAACTGATAAGCCAACTTAACTGATAGTTTATTCACATAATCAGTAACTTAAGAAAATGTTTACAGAACTTCTTTGTTTCTTCAATGATTCAAGTTCAGAGGATAACATGAAGTTTTGCACTAGTAACTAAAGGGAAAGAAGTTGCCAAAAGTGCTGTACATCATTGTACACAAAAGGAAAGGAGGGAATCAAAAGTGACTCCAAAACTGTACATGTAATTAATGGTTGGTCCCTTATGTAACACACAATTTTAAATCTTAAAAGCAGATTAAATTTTAATTAATATAAGAATATAAATAGTGAACTATACATATATAAACACTTACGGATCACTCATTTTTGGAAGAAGAGTACCCAATTCTTTAATTCTGTCATTTATGTTGAATCTCCTTCTCCTTTCAACTATAAAAATAATTACTGATCAGTTTATACAAATTTTGCAAATTATAAAAATAAATTTTAAAAAATGCTGTTAGTCTGATTACATACTCATGTTATGATTATCTTTCTTCTGTCTGTCTTTAGCTAATGCTGTTATTTCTCTGTCGGTAAGGGTTAGCGGTTCCTGTTTTATTTGAGACAAAATGGGTGGGCAGGATGAGGATACTTTGCTGAGCGACTCAGTAAAATTAAAAGGTTCTGATAAATTGGTCACCAGCTGTAATATGTTATAAAATATATCTTCTTAAAATGCAAATCTAAGAAATTTCTTCAATTTAATTAAACTATTACTTAATTACAAACATTTTTGAATAAAAATTAAATCTTATAAAGCATTTTGAGAATTACTATTTTACATTATAATTACTGAAATTATTTGTTTCAAGTACTACTTATTGCCATAGAAATCATCTCTCAACTTCATCCTAACAGAATCTAAAACCAATCTGACATTTTAATAAGAACATTCCCATCATGTATAATTTCAAATTCTGCTGCCCTCAAATTTGGCCACTCTAACTCAAGTGCTTAATGGAAAAGATGGCTCTGTTTACATCATCAAATATTAAATCACTGTTTATTAAAAAGAAGCACATTTGTTACATTAATAATTTTTATTATTAACAGATTTAATAAGAAAACAATTTTTTCTATAATAATATCTTAAAATACAAAAAATATTTCTTTGTGATGCAGATATTTTTAAATGTTTATTACAGAAAATGAACACCAAAAATTTTTGTTAATGCATTAAATATATTTATTTTAAAACATTTACTTGTAAATATTTTTCATTATGTATATAAAATGAAAGAAGCTATTGAGATTGTCACAATAATTTAATAAATTATATTTTTTCATCAGAACAAGTTAGTAATTATTTTTTGAAAATTAAAAATATTCAAGCTAAATGAATATTTCTTAACAACAGATTTATTATTTATTAAAGATTTCCAAACCATGTAACTAATAATAACTTTGACTTGGGAATATAGTGTTAGTAAGAAGCTATAAATAGACAATTTATTAAATTTTGAATTTTATATTGTTACTAAATTCATTCTTTATGAATGTTTTTGAGACTTGCTTTCAAATTTTGTGAACACACAAATATCTTGAAATATCTCGTAAAGAAACAAGATTAGTCAAAAAATTGTATAAATGTAGCTTATTCCCATGCAGAACTAATAATTTATCAATTTAAGACTTGAAAATTTGACCAAACACTAACTTGTATTTTTTGTAATATAAATTACATTTCCGTTCTTTTTTAGGCAGATGACATCATTGTATTCAAAGAAGGATGAGTGCACAATCACTTGCATTAGATCTATCACATCAGGGAGATACTTATAAGCACCCCCCACTTTTTCCAGAAAATCTTTCAGCTCACAGAAACAGTTCACTGCCCATTTTATGGACAGGAACAATGCTTCATAGTCACATATTGTGAAATAAGCCACCATTGAATTGTCGAGATCCTGTAATTTTTGAAGTACCTGTTCTGGATTAGTGACAACGTACTGTACATATGTTCCTCAAGATTGCTAGTGATGTATTTGTTAAGTAGTCTCTCCATTTTAATAGTGGGAGAGGTAGTTTTGATTTATCTGCCCTTAAGATAACAATGTCATTACCAGTCAACCATTTTCTAAATGCCCTGATGTTTGGCCATACTGTCCTGGAAGAAATAGTGCCATTTCCATTTCATATTGCTATCAATGATTTCCATCTGAAATATTCCTTAGTAGTGTGGTCTAGTCCTATCGTTTTTTCAACATCTGATATTGTGCTGAAGGTACTAGATCGAGGTGGCGGAAATAAGATGGGCCATGTTTGATGACATTTAAGAGTGCCTCCAGTGGTTGAATATTATCCCAACATACCAGGCCATGTGTTTGTTGGTTGTCACTCAATCAATCCATCACTCATCCATCTCAATTTGTTTTCATGTTTATCCCAAAGTTTCTTCTCAAGGGAGTTTGTCTTATACCAATATAACCCTGATGTCTTGATTACTACTAATGTGAAAATTATGATGGACAGTTTCCCAATGTATAATCTCTGAGTAGAGAATAGCATTGTCTTTTGGCCAGTCTAATTGCTTTTCTCAGACACAAATTTCTTACTATAGTATTCAATATATGGCACTCTGAAGGGAGTCTAATGTAGTAGAATGATGGAGGGAATATGTTCAAATCCCTGCATTTACAAAGAAAGCGTAATTTAGCTGATGTTCTGCAAAGTTTTGGAACAGATTTACGGTGGGACTTGGCCGGCGAAACCATATTCAATACATCTCAACAACTGATTTGTATAAATATATCACTCATAAAACTAACACCAGCTAATAACAAGAAAAAAGGAAAATTTATGAATGTTTTCGTCTATGTGAAATAGACATCCTCAGGTATATATGGTATCGAACAAACGGATAACGAAAATAGAATATTTTTTTAAAGTTTGGACTGATTACGTGATTCGGATACCTTACATTAAAAATAACAATCCATAAAATCTTTTTTTACAAGTGTTATGTCCGTAGTAAACTCCATAAACACTTTTGACCTCCACTGAGGTCTGTTTCAGGTGGTGACTGACTGTGTTTTCTCCTGACCGTTGTAAAGATGTCGCCAGAGATGTAAATAATTGTGCATGTCGGGTTTCACCCCTCCGACTGTCCCTGTTCGAATTCCTCAAAAAAATCAAGCCTGCGTGATTGTTTCACCATCTTTGAAGTTGATGCAGGTTCCCCACTGTTAGCTTTATGAATCTCCCAGCTCTCCAGGTGACGGATGTGATCAGTTCGGAACGCTTGTCTGATTAGTCTGGTGTTCCGGAAGTCAGCCCGTATTTCAGGGTCAGTTACGTAGGTCGATAAGGCAATGGTGTTCCTGTTATTTTTAATATCTGCTTGATGTTCTCGTATCCATTTTTGTGTTGAGTGAATGGTGGAGCCAATGTAAACAAATTACCTATGAAATCTGTCATCCCTGATGGGAATGGAGTATACACCTGGGACCCTGCTGAGATCCGTTGCGTCCTTGGCATTGCACAGCAGGTTGTAAATAGTGCCGGTTCTCATGTATGCAATCTTCGTGCGGTTACGGCAAGCAATCTTCCTGTATGCAGGGTCTAAATGTTGGTTGAACCAGACGACCGCGCGCGCACTGTTCCTATCCGGTTGGCAGTTGTCTCCAGCAAGGACAGGGGGCTGTCACTGTGGCATGAGGGACGTTGGGCATAGGCACAGGCTAAACCGCAGACCATGCCTTTATTGTATCCATGCTCAATGGCAATTTTTTTCTATGTGACAGAGCTCTAACCGGCTGTCGCGCTCGTTTGTGTGGTGAGTGAAGGCCCGTCTGGTAGAGGCATGGAAGGCAGCAATTTTGTAGACTAAGGGGTCGGAGGAGTTCGCGGAGATGAAAAGTGGGAGCTGAGCTGGTCCGGTTTATGGTAAATGCACGTTTCTATCTTACCCCCCCAAGACATATGTTAGCATCTAGAAAATGTGCACTCAAGTTGCTAACCTGATCTAAGCTGAGGGTGAGGCCATAAGCATTGTCATTCATGCATGACAAAAAATTGTCAAGATTTGGTGTGGTTTTCCAAAGTATAAAGATGTTGTCCACTTATAGACTGATGTGTGGCAAGAATTTGGGCAATACTCTCTCCTCCAACTGTCTCACCACTAGCTCGCAAAGGTCCCCCGATAGCGGGCTGCCCATGGGCACACCTCGTCTTTGTAAATAAGTAGCGTTGTTGAACTGGAAAACTGAGGTGTAGCACATTAGGTGTGCCAGCTCTAATATCTGCTTATGGTGCCGGAGCGCATCATTCTCACGAAGTAGAAAGTCCCTAAGTGCGCAGAAGTATGGCTGCAGTCGTATTGAAGGGAAAAGGTACACAAAATCCAAGACCATGCAGTGCAGGTCGTCACCCATGTTGACCCGTCATAACAACTCAACAAAAGCAGCGGAATTGGTGGTAGAAAACTTATAATCCTTCAAACATTCGGTGGCGATGTTGTGAACGGCCTTCTTGAGCAGCCTCGTTGGGGACCTAGCCTTATCCAGGACAGGCCTAAGAGAAGGGGTCTGTTTGTGCATTTTGGCAAATGCAAACAGCCTCGGAATGTCGGCAGAGACAACGACCGCCTCGCTCAACCCCCATTTCATGGCAAAGGAAGTGCGGATGAATCTAGAAACACGAGACTGCAGCTATGTAGCGGGCGTCGATGTGCTCGCAGTCCGTGTCATCGATATACTGTTGCATGAGAGACCTGTAGATGCTTCCTTTAATAGAATGAGAGATTTGTTTTTATCTGCTTTGAGAACTGTGATGTGTTCATCCGCCAGCCATTTCCTGGTTTTTCGTATGAGGCGCCACCAGTTGTCATTACGGGTCCTGTTGACGGAACAAATCCTGAAGACGGTTTTCCACCTATAGTACTCCTTGCAGGTGTCGCTTAAGCCAGTGATGAGCCTTTCGATTTCGAGCATTATATTCTCCAGGTGCAATTTCGACAGCCCCGGGGCAAACATTGGACCATGCCACATGATGTTAAGTAGAAAAACTGGGGTGTAATGTAGTCCCAGCAAATCAATGTTGCTGCAAGCGAAGACTTTTTGTGCGGTCTTTGTTTAGCTAAGATCCAATTCAGCTTTTTACAGTACCTCATCTGTAGGTCACATGCCAGGGTTTCCTGGAAGCATGCCGCCCTTCCGTTCGTGTCTTCAATCTCTGTCTGATTGCACTCAAACATTAGGTTCTCCAACCTGTCCAAGTTGGAATAGACGATCTTCCTGGTGGATCGAATGGCCCTCCTTAAAAATAACTTCTTGAGTCTTGGAAGCATTGTCTGGCAGTTCTTGGGGAGGCATATCCAGTGAATAGACATAGGCAGTACATCATTTCTCTGGCACTCCAATATGAAACCAAGTTTAGCTCTTTACTACGGACATAACACTTGTAAAAAAAAGGTTTCGTGGATTGTTATTATTCAACGCAGTGTTAAGTAGTTGGAAGGTGTTTTGTCTTACATTAAAATTTATATGTTTGGGATAAAACTCATACATACTGCAATGCCTTAATACAGTATATCTCAGACACAAAATGCACAATCACACCATGTGGTTTCCATAAAAAAATATCTGCCAAGGTGTTGAAGATCTCCAACACTCCCCTCACTAATACTTTGAATCTCTCAGCAACAAAAGTCATGGCGCCAACACTCCCTCGAATATTTGCATTCGAAAAAACCCATAAAAATGGTCAACAGTTACATGTGGTAGTGGATGAAACTACTTCTTCTGCTATTAAAATGGAGAGACTACTTAACAAATACATCACTAGCAATCTTTAGGAACATATGTACAGTACGTCGTCACTAATCCAGAACAGGTACTTCAAAAATTGCAGGATCTCGACAATTCAATGGTGGACAATATTTCACAATATGTGACTATGAAGCATTGTTCCTGTCTATAAAACTGGAACTGTGTTTCTGTGAGCTGAGAGATTTTCTTCTGGCAAAAGTGGAGGGCACTTATAAGTATCTCCCTGATGTGTTAGATTTAACACACTTGATGGTGCACTCATCCTTCTTCGAATACGAAGATGTCACCTACATACAGACAAAGGGTGTACCTATGGGTAGCCCGATATCAGGAATGCTGTGTGAATTAGTGGCCATTTTTTTTATTTGCCTCCCTCTCATTTTCATTGAATTCAGAATAATTATTGTTTACTTTAGCTAATTATTGACTCCAATTATTGTTGTTAATACGCTATATTATCTTTATTAGAAGCTTGTCCTTAACTTTTTTGTCTTAAGTTAAATCTGTTGTAATAAGATCTCCTGCTATTATGGTACTGTATTTTTGTATATTTGATATTGAGTAATTGGTTTTTTTAATATATTGTAAACAGAGCATTCTAACAAAATTCAGAATTTTCTTTTTAAATATCCATAATCACCTTTTCCCCAACTACTTCTACAATTTTTGTGCTAGAATAAATGTATTGTAGAGCTGTTTATGGTAACAGTAAAAAACTCTTTATGGAAAAAATTACCATAAATTCAAAAATTATGATCTATTATTTCTATTGATTTTTACTATTGCAGTATACAGTATTAAAAGTACCAATAATATAAATGTTTTAAAAACTGTATTTCATACTTCATGTGCAATTTTACCATATAATTTTTAAAAATCTATTGTGAATCTGTATCAATAATAATGGAATAGTCATATAAGACTTTCCATTTGTCTACTTTAGTTTATCATAAGTAATTGACAGTTATCTGCTAAGATATGAACATTGACATAAAACAACATTAGTATATAGTAATTAAGAATCTGAAAAATGGACTTCTATTAAGCCTGGTGGACTTTAATCGGAATAAAACAGTATAAAGAATATTGCTGTAAGTCAAGCTTGTGATTATATATTTTGTGTATAATGAATCAAGATAATTCATGATTTATTTTAAAATTTTCTTCGAAAAAAAAGTACTAAATGTTTCTGGAGTACTGATTTGTCTTCAGAATTTCAAAAATTTTCAGGATTATTGTTCAAGCAAAAACACTTTGAATCCTATTACAAAGTTAATTCAAATCAAAAACTTTTTTCTTATAATCTGATTTTATTAATTATATTATTATAACAGAAAGTATAGACAAATGATAGTAAATATCTAAGGGCAAACAATAAAGATTAAAACAAAAAATGATATCAATGTTAATGGAATAGTCAAATAAGACTTTCTATTCTTCTACTTCAATTTATCATTAAGTAATCGGTAGTTATCAGTTAAGATATGAACACTGACATAAAACATCACTAAGTCTACAATACACTAAGTATTTAAGAGAGAACTATTTCGTTCATGGGCAAGTAATAAAATTTCAATACTTAATTATTTGATTGGGAAAATAATTTTTCAATAAACGTTAAATAATGAGATAAATATGCTTGTGTAAATAAAAGAAACATAATATCCAAAGATAATTTTTGACTTTAAAAATGGCAATTTTACTTTATAATGCTTGTTTTTTTATTTAATAAAGAACTTCAATTCAGTTTAGAGTCCTTTGAAAGGCATACATTATCTCTTCTAAAAATGCCTTTAAAAATGATTCAAACTATAAAGTTATTTATAACTTAAAAATGAATAATACAAATTCTTTTTCATGTTTTAAGAAAGTACAGTTGACCCCCTATAATGCTGTAAATACATTCCACTTTATAAGAATTTTGCATTGTAGGAATCCTTAAATACATGAGCCAATCACAGCCCACACGTGTACAGTTTACGGACTACGACTGTTTGAAAGGTTTTCTTCCATAAAATTAATCGATTCTAGACTAATTTGACTCAACATTTCGAAAATACGTATAATTTTTTGGGAATAATCCATGTAAACTACGCTATAAACAAAAAATTGTAGGATTTCTTACCGAGTGTGCACCTTTCGACGACGCCATTGCTTAAGCTTGTTTTTGTCGCAGAGCAGCACACCAAATGGTGGGCACGTTTTCTGATAAGTTATTTTTTTTGCGAAAAAATTTGTTGAACTTCAGAGACATCATTAATAGAAATAATTTTTATGGCCGTTGAATAAGAAATGTTTTTTTCACAAGAAATGTATAAAATTAAAGTACTGTATTAGACTTACAGTACCTAATTTAGGCCTATATACTGTACAGACGATAGTAAACTCAACTTACCCTCCTAAACTCTCCGTAGTGTGTAAGTAGTTCGGCTGCTCGTCCTCTATTGGTCCAGATTTGACCAATCCTGTCGCGACACGAGTCGGCGATGACATTTTACCGCATTTTAAGTGTCTCTGTTAGCGTCTTTATATGAATACGGTCGCAATTTTTTCGCTGTGATATACGAATCCACATTATACGAACCCGCATTATAGGGATCTACTGTACTTTAAACATATATCAGTATCTATTTTATCTTGTAGCTAATGTAAATATAGTATCCTTTCTGTTTACAAGCTAAATTGGCATGAAACAGTACAACAAAAAATATTTACAATAATATTTTAAATGTCAAATACTATATTTCATTCTTAGGAGAAAGTATTTTATTTACACTTGTAATAATACTTACTGGTAAAGTATTTGATTCTAAATGAATATACTTGAGATCAGTATCCATCTCTCTTTCTGGAGGAAATAAGCCATCCCAAAATTCATCCGGCTTGAATATAAATAAAAAACAAATTCAAATAATATTTTAAAATGATAAAATGCTAGTCAGAATGCTTCCAACAGTTAACTTTAATATATTATGAATATTTAAAAAAAGAAAAAAAAAATTTAAGATAAAAAAATTCTGATAAGCAAACATGAAAATTTAACAATATATCATATAATTATTACATAATTAATCAAAATTATTTATTAAATTGAAAATAGGCAATACAATGAAAAATACTGAAATATAAGCAGATGACTGAAGGTTTTTTTGTATGAATACAAAATAATAATTTATGTTCAAATTTAAAACTGATGCTATTTTATAAATATATTATATATAGTCAGTGTATATATGTATGTACAAACACACAAACACAATACAAACAAATTGATGCAGGATATTTGTTTGCATGTGAAATTGATTATAAGAAATATTGAAATCTCAACTTCCTTAATTAAATTTTTAAATTTTATATTTTTAAAATGGATTGAATGTTGTACCTTAATGAAATCTGACAAAAAATGTAATAATATTTATAAAAAAAATTTTAATAAAATTGTCAAAATGTCCATTAGAGATTAAATATCCTATTAAAATTGTCAATTTTAAAAGGATATCTCAATTGAACATTTTTGATAAATTAATTTCAATGAAAGGCATAAATTTTATTCATCTTTTCTCTAAATTGTTTATAGTTTGCTAAAAAATGTATTTAGAGTAAAATAAATAGCCACAAACAAAACCTTTTTTAACCAGTAATTGAACTTAAAACTAAACTTCTGAATGTTTTCGGCCTTCACCAAGATCTGCTTCAGGTAAGAAACTAAACTGGCATCCAAATTGGACCATTAGAATGATGATGTTTGACTTTAAACTTTTTATATATCAAATTTCACATGTCTGATTGACTCCGTTCGAATTTCTCTAACAGGTATTTCCATGCAGGCGCAAGTCTCACCTCTTTAAAATTAATACAGTTACCTTTAAAGTTAGCTTTATAAATTTCCAAGGCCTCCAGGTGACAAATATGGTCTATTTGAAAGGCCTGCCTAATATATCTGGTGTTCTGGACTTCCGGGTCGGTGGTGTACGTAGACAAGGCGGTAGTATGCCTGTTATTCATAATGTCAAATTGATGTTCACGTATCCTTTTGCAAATTGAACATATGGTTAAGCCAATATAAATTAATTCCCTTTGGAATCTATCATCCCTAAGAAGAATAGAGCATACTCCTGGGGCTATGCTTAGATACGTTTTTTGTGTTGCGTAGCAGCTTGTAAATTGTGCCAGATCTCCTTATGCGATTTCTGTGCCATTCTGGTTTGCAAATTCCTTGTATAAGAAGTTCAAATGTTGATTGAACTGAACTATGGTGTGTGTGTAGCCTGTGATGCATTGTTGGTTTCTGTTAGAAGTCTACTTCTAACAGAAGCCAACAACACATTACATTGTAAACAACATACAACATTGTAAACAATATTTAATATTTTTGAAAATTTTATAAATTAAATTAAATGTTAGGTTTTGGGCCCCTCAAATCATAATCTGCTTCTATAAACATGGTACTGAAATCAATCCTACACTATGTAATTATGCATCACCATATAATATATAGCAAATAAAAGTTCATTTCATTGCTCATATTGATTGTATCTAGTGAAAAATAACTAATGAGCATCTTGCTCAATAGCAGATTAATAGCAAGAGTAATCTGCTTGATAGCATTTATAATGAAAATACATTGTGTTTGTGAATTCATCACATCAGTATCATCATTCTCTGAATATGAACATCAACATTATTGTCATAACAATCTTCTATTAAACAAAAATCTCAAATATCCATGACAAATGTATGGACAAATCCACAGTCTAGTGAGTAAGAAATGACACTTGTTTTTACACTGTCAAAACTTTTTAATTGATAAGATTAACCAATAAAATTTTTTAAATGTTTATATGCATTAACATAGCAAAATTAAAAGTATTAGAAAAGAAATCAAAATATTGAATGAAAATTCATTCAATATTTTAATTTATTTCATTAAATTAAAGGTGCATTAAATTTTCTTTCATAAATATTTAAATATGTAAATAAACTAATCCATACAATAGAAATGATAAGAAATTAAGATAATACATATTACTTTCAATGCCCAATTTTAAGCATTATGTAATTTTGATTGTAGTGAAAAGGAGGTGTGGTTTTTATCTCTGGTTTTAAATAAGTTTAAATGATAACAGCTGAAAACAACCTTTGAAATCAGATAATTCAGATAACATTTTCAGAGCATAAAATTATGATTGAAATACAAATTAAATATTAAAAAAAATACAATGCATAGAGTCTCAGTTCTAATTGCTTTTGTTTTGTATAATAATATAGAAATGTCTACAATTAACTCAAATCTCAAGCAGACTAATGTTATATTTTAGTATAAATTATAACCTAATGTTATAGTTATAATTAGTATTACAAATACCAATAAATTTTAAATGTTTAAACATTTCATCACCATATTTAATTTTTATTTTAAAAAAAAGCATAATTGAAGTAAATATTTTGATTCATTTAATGAAAACAGTCTTTGAATTATTATTCATTCCTCATTTATCACCACATTTATGTCAAAGTATTATTTAAATTCAAAAGTTGCATTTATTTGAAATAACTTTTGTACTTTTACAATTTTAATATATAATAATGAATAGTCTAATGTTAACCTAACTCAATATAAAAGCAGACAACTTGTGTTCATAAATGTTTAAAAGAAAACTCATCTGATCAAGTGATCATAGAGACTTCCAGAATTAAGGAAGTCTTGTTTAATTTCTATCATGACAAAAACAGTAATATTCAGTCAATACGACAAATGTTAAATTTAACTTTTCTATCAGTTATATAGAATATACTGTCACTGTGTATTTATGAACTTTTTAAATATTTAAAATGAAAATTAATGATAAAACAAATTTGATGATTTCTGTACTTAATAGCAATTATAGCTATTGTTTGTGCTAGCTAATAATTTTTCTATATCATAAGAGGTGTATAGCATTGGGTGAGTGGGCAGAGGACACTGACAGTCTATACACAGTATGTAGTATGATATATTCAATTTACAATTTAATATCCATCACAACAATGATAATATTACGTACACAAAATCTATACAAGAGCATCATTCTGAATGGTATTTGCAATCACACCGTGCAGTGGATTATCATATTATACACATTTAAAATAACATGATAGAAAAATCAGTACACATTCTTTAAAATACATTCAAATTTAAAACTTACAAACATAATTTAGTAATATTTTTTTGTTACTTTTAATGGTAATATTTACATACATCAAATCCTTCAGGTGATAATGGCCAACTGAAAATTGATTGCAATGAACAACTTGAAGAATAGTTAAACTTTTCAACTATTCTCTTGGTGTATCAGCTCCGGAGAAGTGCCATGTAGCTATTTTTCTAAACTACTATTATTTATAATTAATTTCTATTTATAAACAACTTTTTAAACATACAAACTATTGAACTAAGCTATTAAAGCTAAATTAAATCTATGAATGCCTGAATGAATTAGCTCTTTATTTCCAACTACTCATTCTTTCTTCTTTCACACACACAGAATGTACTATAGCTATGACAATTATTCTTAGTTTAAATGGTAAAATTTTATTCATATTATGCAAAATTTAAAATATGGCTTGCTTATAATATAGCCTTTATGCAATTTGAAAATCTATTGTATTTTTGAATAGATACTTGCATTTATTAAGCTATAAAAGGAGTTAGCCTGAGGATGCCCATTCAACCAACACAGGTAAAAATGTTAGTATTTTCCAATTTTTTTTGCTGGTTATTTGGTATTTTTTGTAGCTTTGTATCAAGTTTACCCAGATTTTGAATGGTTGTATTGCATCTATAAAGTATATTATCACTTATACCATTAATAAAATAAAGAATACCATTAATTTACTTATTATATGCTATTTATGTATCAGTTTTATTACTGAATTTAGAAAGTTAAATTATCAATTAAAATTTACTAGTAATATTTAAATCTTTAGAATATTTTAAAATAGTATTTTTATTGTTATTTGAGCATCATTAACTAAACAGCATTGTTACAAGCAAATAATTTACGAGCTTAGAAGCATCATCTATTGAAAAATGTGTATTTTGAAAAATTGGAATAAGAATATTCTAATTAATGAAATAAAATCTAATATCAATAACTAAATTTTTATAAATTTTACTGCATTATAAGTTTCAAAACATCCAAATATGCTTAACCTAAAGAAGGTCATTTAAGATAGCCAAAAACATTAGTTTATTTGATTTTAATTAAAGAATTTTCTAGAAAAAAGAAAGTTGTTTTGAAACTTATATACAAACGTTCTAGCTTACTGTGCATTATCTGAGATGTCAAACTATGCATTGAACTTATCAATTTAATGTTTTTATGTAAATGATAGAGGAGAAAAATAAAAATAGCCACAAATGAAACTTCAGAGTTTATTTATTTAAGATGATGATAAACATTTTATCACAAAACTAATCTTTTCTTTATAAAAAATCCAGCAGCAAGTTGCTTAACTTTCTTGGAAACATTTAAAACTGCATGTGTGTTGCCATCTGTTATGATATTTTATTATTAAAAACTTTTTATATTTGTAATTACTATAAAATGGCAAAAAGCTTATTTTTGAGGGCAGGGATGGGTTTTTATATAAAATTGGAAATGCTAATAACAAGTAAGGCCATCATGACTCTACTGGAGATACATACAATCCCCTTTATCTTCCTACCATCTCACCTCAACCTTTAACCATCAAAATTTAATAGCATCAATCTCTCTAATAAACAAATTTTCCTGCAAAATTTCAGAAGTTTTCAACAAAAAGCACAGGGGTTATTAAGCTTCATAGAGGGTGAACAAAATCATGCTCTCCACACACACCATACATACAGAAATTACCCCAA